ATGAAGTCCACTCATCTTACAGTGGCCAAGTTTGGACAACACTGATTTAGAGGTATGGAATTGACCAATACTCAGAAAAATGTCCCCAGATTGGCAAGCGTTGACAGTCACCCAAATTTAACAGGCAGGGAAGACCTGAGTTCTTCTTACATTGTGGTGTATGTTTTCATATTCTTTTTACACCTCTACCAGCAAGAATTTTTATTCATTGGCTGGCTTGTTAGCCTGGTTCAACCAGTTGGTTACCCCATAGGCCTGAGTCACAGTGATGTTCCAGCACACCAGCGCACCAATGCAATAATTTAGCACAATTATGTCACAATGCATGTAATGACACATCTCCTCCTCTGCAGACCCTCTACACACCCAGCTTAGCCACCATGTATTTGAGATGTCTTATAAAACCAGTCAATGCTTCTTCAATGTTGTTGTTGTTTTAAAACTCAGCACTGTGACAAATTAGGACATGAGAAATCTCTCTCTTATTCCTGTTTCAGATTTGCCAAACACCCACCCACAAATGCACATCACAGGCCCTTTGGAAAGAATGACCAATGAAAGTGTGAAGGCTCAGTCAATATGTTTATCCTTCCATTTGTCAGGATGACCCATGGCTAGGTTTTCGTATCACAGGGGGAACAACTCAATCCGTAAAAACATCTAAGAAGACAGTGCCAAGAATGGCCTCGAGAGAGGAACGCCTGCCTCCTTAATCTCTCAAAAAAGCCATCCCTTGCAACTTCCAAGAGCCATCTCAGTGATTAAGCAACAATTTGATTCAATTTAATGCACGAATATAATTAAAGTATTGTAATACATTCATGTATCAGTAAAGCAGTCATGAACCTGCAACTCTTGCTTAGAAAGATGACATTCATTACAGCCAACAGATGTGCCCAGAGCAGCTTTTTGAGTTAACAAAGTTGCTTTAACTCTCCTCTTTTGATTGAGTGTTAAAGCTTGGAGATGTTGGCTATTGACTTGCAGAGCTGAGTAGCAGAGTATGTACTGCTTCCCATTATGAGAGAGAAAGAGAGAGAGAGAGAGAGAGAGAGGTGGGGGCTGTTTAAAACTGCAGTTGCAGAAGAAAATGTATAAGCTTCAGCCAGTTGGCTTGTTCCCCAGAATGCAGAAGAAGAGAACGCTTAGGCAGAACTATCAGTTTTTCACCCTTGTGAAACAGGGGTTTATTAGGACCTCCTTATTTCATTCTAGAAATTATGGGGTCCTCGTGTCCTCCAGGGAATTCATGCAAACTTAGAGATGCTGTAGCAATACCATTCTCCTTTGTTCATCCCCATCATGCAAGAAATGGCTTCTGGCCATCTCAGATCCTTTACGGGACATTGGAGGAGGAGAGCTGGGTTAGTCTATAGGAGTAAAAAGTCAGGAGGCACCTGGTAGTGTTTTTCCAACTAGCAAATTTTATTAAAAGGCATCAGCTTTCGTAGGGTACAGCTCCCTTCACAGGTGTATCTGATGTGTCTGGTGAAGTGAGGGTAGCCCACCAAAGCCTAGGGCTTTTAATGAAATCTGTTGGTTGGAAAAGGTGCTACCAGGGCTGAGCTCCACATGGCCAGGGATGGCTTTTAGGGATCAAGTGGAGGTTCCACCAGCTTCCCTGAAGCTTCTAAGGGAGAAGAAGGAAAAGGCAAACCTACCACAATAATGAACAGAGCTGGGGCCACGAAAGCCCAGATCGCACCACTGTCCAAGGAAAGCCAACAGCTGCAGAGAAAGAGAGAAAGAAGTCATTACAAAATCGCATGGGGGAGAATGTGGGTGTGAGTTCCAACCAGCCGCTAATTTAAAAATATGTAGCAGGGAGAAAGACAGGAAGCGGGTGTAGGATGGGTGGCTTTGGGTGACATTCAACAATGGGGGAGAAAACAGCTGGAAATAGGAGACAACGACGACGATGCAAAATGGCCAGAGTTCATCAGTCAGTTAGGTAGGGCTGCGAGTTTCCACCTCTCTCATTTTTGCCATTTTCCCAGCTTCATCTGGTGCGCCAGTTGCACCCTTTCCTAGATCAGGAGGCCCTTCAGACAGTCACTTTGTTTTGTGGTCCCACCCATTCTTGCTTGCAGGCAAATGGCATTTCTTGCAGATATCCCAATGCATCCTTGTTGCTACTTTGTTATTATTATCAGAATTTAAAAGCAGAATGGGATGAAAAAGGATTTTAGTGAGTAAATCTTTTTCTAGTGTTTAGCTCCATGCCATGACAAAATCCATTTCTCTGGCTTTCTTTCTGCATTTCAGGTCTCTGTTCAAGGAACAGAGACTGTAAGAATGGGGGAACTCATGGTTTTTCCCTTCAGCTACAGCTATGTCAGATGGGCTGTCACCTGGAACTGTCATTGCAAATGGAAAACAACCTTGGTTAATTTTAACATGATCTGGATGTGGGAGTAAGAAAAGGCCAGAGACCTTTACCTTCTGGACTTCAATTTCCACAATTCCCAGATACATCTGAAGGACACTGCATTAAGGAAACTGTGTCAGGATATGGATGCTGAGACAGTTGGAACAAATATGGATGAGTGACATCTTCCACAGACTATCCATTCTTCAGAGGAGCTATCAGATAACAACAACAGCAACAATTTATAGTTTCTCATTTCCAGAACTTACTTGTTGTGTTCTCCATAGCTTTCCACAGTTGTAGTTGTGGAAATGACACAGATCAGGAGTGGGCAACCTGCAGAATGGAAGAGGTGAGCATTAGCATCTTCATAAGAAGAGGAAAAAGAAAGGTTCAGGAGGGCCAATGTGAAACCAGTGAACGTGGTTTAAGGTGCAGTTCTTCTGTTACTATGAAAAGATCCACATTCTTCTTTGACTATTCTTGCTTCCACTTTTCACAACCCTCAGCATAGATCTGCATAATGCACGTGTGGTCCTGAACCCCAAAATGGTTGTCCATTATGTAGTCCAGGTTCAGATTTATGGGAAGACTGATGGGGGCAATTCATATTTCTTCAGCAGTACTGGCTATTATGGAATATAAGCATTGAAAGACATGAGCTGTGAACCAGGATGCTCATCCTTAATGAACTTCACCAGCCATATCACTAGATGGCCCTAAGGTGAATCATGACCTCAGAACCCAGCACCTACATGAAATAGCAATGTGACACAACTTGGAATCACTCTTTCATGTGGTTGATGTTAGAATAGCTGCAATCTTTGATCACATTTTGCAAGGAAATTTTAAGGGTTATGGATGTGTGTGTTTCACAGTTGGGTCCCTCTTCATTATTGGTGTTGCTAAAGAAAGACAGATTCTTGGCAACATGTTGCAAATTCCATTACAGAGGCATATGGATACATAACAGGAAACTAGCAGGGAATATTGTAAACAAAACAAGTCTATGATCAATGTACGATAGAGGTGGAAGAAGTGAGCAAGATACTGCTAGTCTTTCATGTATTAATAAGTTCTAAAACGGGGTTTTAAAATGGACCTGGAAGCAATGGGTTGTATGGCTCTTTGAGGGGTTGCTTTGCTTTGAGAATGACTTGAGTAAAGCCCCCCTTGAAGATGCTGTCTGAAGCATTCCAGCCCTCTTGCATCTAAGAGGGAAGTGAAGCAATGGCATTGGAGTCCCCCCCTCCCCCCTTGGCTCTGACTGCCTCTTTGGCCCTTCAAATGTCCGGAAGAAGCTTTTTTCTGACACTTGTAGGACCTCTCAGAAGCTCTTCCAGAAAGAACCAATCAAGGTTATGAAACAATATAACAGATCTGATCAAAGTAAATCACATTGCTTCCTCAAGGCTATGTTGCATCATCCTCGCAGTGCAAAACCCATCACTAAAGCAAATTTCAGCTACCTTGCACCAGTGTAATAAACAAACAAATCATTTGGTTGCCTCTAGTTAAGGACCGGATGACACCTTCTTCCCATTCGGCATATAGCAGCCAGCAGGACTGATGGCTTAAGCTTCCTTCAACAATGATTTTGAGGACATGAACATGAAAAGGATGTATATGCATTGAAATAGTTCGAGTTTGTCATGTTGAACACATTTTTATGGTGTTTTTCTTGAAGAAACTTCTTACAGGAACTCCTGAAACTGCCAATCCAGAGTAAGGGCAATCAGAAAGCAGAGGTGTTGCCCTCACTCTTGATTGTCTATGTTTTGCTTCAAGAGTCATCGGGACCAAAATGACAGGTTGCTTAGTAGCGATCACACTGAAGAGAGCAGCTAATGGGGGGAGAATGTTGTCACAGTATAAAGGCAGTAATTTCTTTCTTGCCTTTAACATTTTCTCATGAGTAACCTACATCCTCAGAAAGGGTAGGTAGAATGTCATGTTCACAAAGGGCTGAACAGTCATTGGTCCTGCAGCCCCTGTGGGATTGACTTTGGGAGGGCAGCAAAGGCCACAGAGGGGACAAGGTTTGGAGTTGGAGACATATCTGGAGCACTTTATATTGCCATCTGCATTTTAGAAAGAGTTGCAGTGATTGGGGAAGGACCACTTCGGCACTGGGGTATTCAATCTGGCCTGTCAGAGCAGGGACAGAAAACTTTCAGATCAGGGAATACATAAGTAGTCGTCTTCTTCTTCTTCTTCTTCTTCTTCTTCTTCTTCTTCTTCTTCTTCTTCTTCTTCTTCTTCTTCTTCTCTCTTCTCTCTCTCTCTCTCTCTCTCTCTCTCTCTCTCT